AACTAAAAAATCTCATTATACAGTTTACAACAAAATATGATATACCATGTTGGAGTTGACTATATTGATCTTCGGATGCACCCGGGACCGGTAAAAGAGTTACATGAGCAACTTTTTTTCTTCTATATAGCAAAAAATAGAGAATGAGTGCCAAAAGTAAAATTCCAAAAGCTCCTCCAACAACTATGCCAGCAATGGCTCCTTTGGACATTCCTATATACAACAATGTCAGCATCACATAGCAATATTTATTTACCCTGCCATGATTTTTCATGTCACTCTTTAACTTTATATATATATATATATATATATATATATATATATATATATATATATATATATATATATATATATATATATATATATATATATATATATATATATATATATATATATATATATATATATATATATATATATATATATATATATATATATATATATATATATTTATGAAGCTGCAATGTGTACTGTACATCACCTGATCTGCAAAAACGAAGAAAAAAACAAAGCATAGATGTTCAAGTTAGAAATTTTAAAAAATATATATTTTGAAGAGAAAATGTTGGAATATTCAAATTAAATTGGGCATATGGAAACTTCAGCTTACTTTAGCTGCAGTGGTGGAAAGTTTCCATATTCATCTGCAAAATATGATTGATAAAATAATCAGAAAAAACTTTATAAAAAATAAGTGACAATGTATAAACTAAGTATAACATAATCTGTATTGTTTTGTTTTAAAGCCGGATAGTGCCAATTGTTCTTAATAAATTAAACATTTTTCTTGACCAAAAATATAAAAATAAGCATCTCTTATAGCTTCTTTTTTTATTTATTATGTCAAGTTGATATATTTCCAAATGCATGGGTGGAATATGCTGAATCTTTTTCATATTCCATTATTTTTCATTACAAAACTTCACTATCCAACAAGTGTATGAAATTGTGTCAAAAGGAATGTGAAAGAGACATAAATAGGTGGGTTTAGTTAGGCTCTTTCTTTTGAATCCTACTCCTTACGTCATATATTATATATATGTTTTCTTCAATATTAGAATATCTAAAATTATTCTTTTATTTAAAAAATCAATACAATTATTGTTAATTTTTCTGTTATATTTTTTATTCATTTCAATTTATTTAATAATTTGAGTAAAAGAAATATACACCGAAATATTTATTTCACTGAGTCACATTTTTATTTTTAAAATATTGAATGTTAAAATTATATTGTACGATGGTGTAAAATTATTTTAAAAAGAGAAAAGATCAGCGAATTGATGGTATAAATTAATTTTACACATTTAATCAATAATGATTATGTATTTTATCAAATTAAACTAAAAATTTTAAATTACAAGACAAGATGAAAGAGTAATATATTTGTATTGAATGACAATGTAAATTTTGCATTTCCTTTAAATTCAAATAAAAATGGGAATACAAACTAAAATTCAGAATATAAACTTCAGGTATATTTAATTCGTGATGGCATATATATATATATATATATATATATATATATATATATATATATATATATATATATATATATATATATATATATATATATATATATATATATATATATATATATATATATATATATATATATATATATATATATATATATATATATATATATATATATATATATATATATATATATATAATTATTCATATTTGGAAATTAACAATTTAAAAAATAAAATAAAATATTGAAATATATCAAAAATAATTAAATTAGGATATGGGCCATTGAGGAATATTTTCACAAATTATATAAAAGAAATACTAATTAGTCAATTGGAAAAAGGGTACTAATTAGTCAATTGGAAAAAGGGTGAACTAGTACAATATAATTTTTTTTATACCGATGATCATTGACGACCGTACATCCCACCAAATTATATTAAAATTTTAAAATTAATTATATGATATGATAGAATAATATATTTTTATTAAACAATAATATAAAATATTTTTCAAAGGAGAAAGTCATAAAAAAATTAAAAAATGTAATTAAATATTTCAGTAACAAGAAAAGGAAAATAAAATTACAAAACTAACCTTTTGCCGGCAAAAACACAAGACCATGTCCAGCACTAAAATCCGACTGAGGATTATACCTCTGCACCACCTCCGCCGGCACACCATACTCCGCCTCAATCCCCTTCAAACTATCACCGACACGAAGTGGATACGTCAAAAACAACCCATAATCTTTCGACACGTGTCGATCACCGCAAGAACAATTAACCGTAACATTGATCTTAACATTATCCGGTATATTTGTAGGTGGGTAACTATTGACTCTGGTAACCCAATCCTTAGTAGTAAGGTTAGAATAATCAACATGAACAATTGAGTTGTATGTGTCACCGTGTTTCGTTTTGTACGAGAAAGTGTGTCCTAAGAACAAACCGTTGAGACACTCGCACGTGAATGGCACGTTGATTTTTGTTTGGCTTAGAATAACATCGGGGTTTTTAAGGTTTGGGTTGTGTTTAAGAATTTCTGAGGGTTGTTGGTTGAAAAGGTTGCTTATGTATGTTAGATCTGTTCCTTGAGGTATGGAATAGGAAGCTAGAGCAAGGTTGCAACCTGAAGAACATGTTCCTTCAGTTTTCATACTAATCAATAATAATAGAAAGAGAATAATAATTAAGAAAAATTGATATTTAGTAATCATTTTTGTGATTAAGGAGTATAAGGAAAAGGGTTGTTAATTTGCATATATATAAGGATGTTTATTAATGATGTTATGTCATGTGAGAGGAGGCTTTGGAGTTTAGTTTATTTTTATATAATTATGATTATGATTTTGATTAGTTAATTTTATAATTATGATTACGATTAGCATCTATGGAGTGGTTGAACTATTCTTCTCTAGGCTTCTTGTTATTGTCATTGGTAGTATTGTTTTTTAATTTGTTTGGAATAATTGTTGCCATTGGGGAGATTGCTTAGAGAATGTGACTACCAAGCTTCACATGAAAAGGGTTTGAGAGTGACTCCAAATGGGTGAATTTGGAATTTTAATGATTTTAAAAATAAAGGTTGTAGTTAGTGTGAAATGGAAATGTATCACTCATTATGTCACTTTCTAGTGTAGGCAATTAAAATTTACAAATTATACAAAGATGGTACAGTAAGTTTGAGATTTTTTTTTTCAAACCAATGGACTCAAATAACTTTTATTTCTACACAATGTTTTTCTTTTTTTAATTTGAGTTATTCCGTGTAAGGAGCATGACTCTAGTACACAAATGTACGGGTGACACTAATATCTATTGAGGGGAGGAACCAAAGCAGAAAGAAGAAAAAAACTTGTTTGGTTGGTGGTCACTTGGTACATTTGGCTTATTAGAAATGGAGTTGTGTTTCACGGGAATGTACTAATGGTTAACAGAAGAGAAAGAAGTTATAAAAGAGAAAAAAAAAGTTTAGAATTTTCATTAGAAAGATAATAGTTTATATAATAAGAATTACAGCAGACTATAAATATTAAATAAAATAGAAACAAAAATTAAAATTACTCTTAACATATAATAATATAATAATAATATCATCAAATATTTATTTTCAAATTTATGATGCATTAACGGAAAATATGAAGAGTTTTTTAATTAAAAAAACAAAAATATTTATTGGAATGTGTCTTTGTAAATAAATAAACAATATATAAGGAGAAGGAAAGCAACGGTAGAGTAAGTTTTCTATGTTAGAGATGGTGAGAAGTGAAGTGACAATCAATTTCAATATACTTAGTACGTTCATGAAATACTGAGTTGTGAGCAATTTGAATGACATTTTTGTTATGACAATACATAGAAGTTGGTTTAGAAAGAGAGACACATATTCAAAAGTAATCTACGCAACCAAACTATTTAAGTTGTGGTGGATGCCAAAACACGATATTCAACTTTTTGTAGAAGAATGAGATACAATATCTTATTTCTAATGGTTTTTAGAAATAAGAGTCTACAAAAAAAGATACAAAAATTTGCGGTAGATTTACGACAAATTATTAGAATAAACACATAACTCCAATGAGGATGATGGAGTAAATAAAAGGCTCTAAAATTGGGTTTCCGGGAGATAATAAAGAACGTGAAGAATAATTGGTCATTAATATGATTGAGTTTTGGAGGGGTGTTAATTAAAAAATTCTCAAAATTACAATAACTAAAAATATTATCATTAAGACTAAAATGATTAATATGATTGAGTTTTGGACTACTATATACAACATGATAAGAAAAATAAAATTTTCTTTTTTGAGGATTATAACAACGATTACCCTTTTAACTATCCTCATAACTAAGAAAACACATATCGTAGAACAAGAAGATAACTTACTACGTTCTACTTGTGGACAGAGAACAAAACAAATAGGGTACAAAAATTTCAAAGAATAACTAAATATAGAATCATACAAAATTTTAAAAGAGATAAACCTAATTTGATTGGAGATAAAATTTTATTAATGATAAAATAATTTTTATTTTCTAAATTATATAACGTTAGATGAATTAAAATATAATAAATTATTACATTAATATCTTTAAAATTAATAATTTAAAATATAGATAAGGAGTAAGAACTCTTCCAACTTCTAATAATTAGAGAATTGCACAATTATTTTTAGTAATATTATTTTGAAAATTTTATTGTGCTTTTTAAAGGAAACTCGCATTTTCTTAAGAAATAAAGAAAATCCCTAAAATTTATGAGTCTCTATGATTATAGTCATAGGTAGATGGGTTCCACCTAGGATGTAAAAGTCTCCACCTTTTCCACATAAGCTCAAGGATATTTGTGTACATGATGTACTGAAGAAGCCTGTAGATATTTTTCAATATGTGGAGACCATAAGTTCTTAACCCACAAGCATTGTATTTTCTGCCTTATATCACACACCTTAATATTTTCCTCCCCAAAATTAAAAGTCTTTCTTCAATTCACCACACAAATACTAAATCTGTTTGTTACCTATGGATTCCTCTTCATCTATAACACTTTCTCATCTTCCTTATGTTTACCCTGCAATACCAAACACCAACAAAAAATCTACTTTTTGGCCAGCTGGCAAGCGAAGGAACTCTCAATTATCCACAAGGTTACATTGTAACAAGATGTTTGTACCTGGTCTGTTTACAGCTTCGTTTTTGTACTTGGTTGTTGTGATTTGTGATGTTTCATTGTATATGAGATTATCAATAATAGTGTGTACCATGGTATCTTGGATACAGGATTTGGAGAAGCATCACCAGAAGCAAAGGCTGCTCAAAACCTCCACAATTTCTTCACCTTTGTTGCTGTTAAAATCGTTGCTGCTCAACTTGAGGTTCTTCCCCACATAATTTGGCTTTTTTTTTATTCTTGCTTTAACCGATTTCAAGTTACTGTTAATATGAGATTTCTTGCAGAGTACTCGAAACTGACTTAACATGTGTCATAAGAGCACAAATTATCATTTTTCAAAACTCTTCAAGGAAAATAAACACTAACAACTTTATGTCAGAGATAGTCAAAATATTGCAAACCAAAAGAAAAGAAATAGTTAATACTATTTAAAAATATAGTACCCTACTCCTCTCCCTAATTGTGTTGTGTTACTTGATTCAAAGTATGATCATAGTTAGTGTAAGAAAAGTTTTACAAGGACATCTAATGATTTTCTGTCAAATTCATAAACAATGTGGCAATACATAATCATATTTGAGGTAATTAACAGTAGACTATTTTACTTAGACATTTAACCATAGCTCATTGCATGAAGTAATATTATGACCCGACACAATAGATGAAAATATAATTAAATCTCTATCAATGTATAATTATTAACTCTAGTACATTTATGTGTTTGGTGCATCTAAATTAAACTGTTTTTAGTTGATATCTCGTAGTTCTTTTGATCATCAATATCATTCGTTATAATTATTTCGACGAGCAGAGCTATAATCCTGAAGCATATGTTGAGCTAATGGAATTTGTGGGTAAACACCCGTTGGATGATGGTGACAAGTTCTGCGCCAGTATGTTCAGAGAATCATCAAGACATAAGAACTTAGGTAAGTACAGATACCAAGCTTCTAATCCTTAACAGTTAACAGTCAATTATCTAACCAACAACTACTATATGGTGATTGAATTGAATGAACGAAATCATGGAAACTGATACCGTGTGGCTCTGGCATGTAAACAATTGAATAGCCCTACGCATAATGGAGGTAAATGGGTGACTTATTGTTTTGTTGCTTTTCCATCACTGATTAACCAAGTTCTGATTAAGTACTATGTTGCATTTTTATATAGGTGCGATCATCATACAGCCAAAATGATTTTGAATGGAACAACATGAAGCGCCTAGCTTTAAAGGTTTGTAGTAATTCAAAAAATATCTGTTCAGAATGTTGATTTTGCCAATTTACTTAACTTCATGTATAATGCATGAGAATGTTTCTAACCTTATCGTCTTGCAGATGGTCACTGAATCTAACACGAGGCTTATGAGGGATTATGTCTCTGAAACCAGCCGTGCTGAAAATGAAAAGTGAATAGTCCAGCAACAGAGCAAGAACCTTCATTCCCTCTTACTCTGATCGAACAGGAGCTTGGGCTACATATTAATATGTATGAAAAGAAAGCAGAAAATGCATTCGCATGGTACTTGATGAATTGCATACCCCGGTATTAGCATGGTTATAATGATTAAAAATTCGAGTTAGACCATAAATGGTTGGACAAATCTGTAAGACAATTTGACTATCAACATACCGCAGTGAAGTGACTTAATGGAATACTTGAAGAACTTCAATCACGTGTAAAAAATGAAATTGTACACATTTAACTTTCTTTGAGAATTTTTTAAAATCTATTTTATATTTTAAGAATAAATCAATAAAACTGTTTTTACAACAACAAAAAAGTAACTAATAACAAAGGAGGTGCAAGTATAGTATCACATTATTTACAACAACAAAAAAGTAACTAATAACAAAGGAGGTGCAAGTATAGTATCACATTATACTACTTTAGATTTCCTAACCACGAGCTATTCATCCTAGTTTTTTCTTATAAGAGTAGCATCATCAATGGCAAAAATAACATGGAAGTTTAGAATTCTGTTTCCTGTCGTATTTCACCAACAAATTGGATTTGATACCTATTCAACTGCCTCATATTCTCTGTACAAAAATATCAACAATTAAAACTACAAGGTTCCTCAATCGTTGACTTGTAAGCATTAGTTCCACTGTTTTGATTGATAAAACCGTCAGGTATACTCTGAGAAGAAGACATAGTTATTATTTGTCACTCTGTGGCTGCAAATGATAGCAAAGAGGTTAAGACTTTAAGAGGTAAAAAGGACAAAGCTAATCAGAATAAGGTTGTCTGCGGTCAACTATCTTCGTTTTCAAACCACAAGTACATATGATATACTTGAGAGCACATCTTGGATTTCTCTTGATCAAACATGAATCGAAATTAAGCAGAAGTCATTACCTCAAGATGGCGCTGAAGATCACCTGAAGCATGGATTACGCCATTGCTGAAGTATGAATGAGCATATTCTTCTATGTTATCCAGACTGCAATTAGATGTTATCATCAGCATGCACAACAAATTTGATCAAGTAAAAAAAATTGAAATTGAATTTATCTTATTCAAAGCTATCCATATGGATATTATCAATAAAAGTAACCCTAGAAGCATGAAATGACACATACAGTCATTGCTCCTTTCATTGGAAAGACTTATCTAAAGAATCAACAGAAAATTGGCATAAAGAACAAAAAGATGAGCATACTTAGGTAAGAACAAAAACAGGTTCCAGAATTTTCAAGAGCATGATTACCTATATACATAGTTCACCATGATGCCTCCACTTTGAGAAAGGCCTTTTTCTGATAGGTCTGCCATCCAATTTATTCTTTCAACCATCTGTCCCATATTGAGAAGAAAGAAGTGATTCATACGAGTTTGTCCAAATTACAGTTGTGGGTTATTTGAAATGGAACATAGCTTTGCAGCATCCACTTATGTATGCAGCAAGAAATAGTGTCAAGATAATAATCCATAATGTCTTATCTTTAATGATAAAACCATCCAAAATGTCAAAACAAAAAACAGTGTATAACGTGCTAATCAAAAAGAAAATGCCATTTAAGCTTGCAAGGCATACCGCTCCATTTTGCAAGTGAAAATTTGCTACAGAGTCCAAAGCTTTTCCTCTTTTCTTCTCTTGCAGAAGGTATCTGTGATAAAATAAAAGTATCACAAAAGTTTTCTGATTAAAAGTATAAACTATGGGTGTAGTCAGCTTCCTAGCACAATGCAATTGTTAGAAGAAGTCATTAATAACATTGGTTTGATTCATTTCTCGTAATACATTTGCAGTACCTGGCACATAAGCGCATCAAAGGGGTTTTTAGTGCTGACAAAGTTTCCGGAGAATGGATCCATTTGTAGGATGTAGAAGTAAGCAGGTTGAATATCACTTCCATTCCATTTTTCCCTGTGGCAATATCTCTGCAGCACATACTGATATTAGTCACTTGAAACTGACATCATAGACAAATTAGGAAAGCAAATAGAGACACTATTTGTCATCACTAATGGCCAAGGCACATGGCAATAGATATTCGAGTACACTGCAGTCAGAATATACTTAGCTAAAGAATAAAATATATATTAAGACATGTGTAATGCAAAAAAATAATAATAATAATAAAAATAAAAAAATAGTAAACTTAGAGTAGCAAAGATGAACAAGAGATACACAAGACAAAATATGATTAGAAACACAATTACTAGAGAGAAAATTGAGGCAACTTCCAATTTAAGGGGGGGAAATTAAAATCTCATCTTAGGTGGCTTGGACATAAACCCTCGCAAAACTTGCAACATATGTGAAGAGGGTTAACCATATGGAGAATAGTTGGATCAAACCATTAAGAGATATTTAGAGACCAACTGTCTATTTTTGAACTTAATACACGATAAGAATCATAGTGGCCATGCCATGATGATATGTCCACATAGTGGGAAAATGTTTAGTTGTTGTAAAGCATGTATAAAACAGTTTTCAAGATTGTATCCTGAAACTTCCATACAACTTATCAACGAAGTTGGAAAAGAACATCCAAGAATATCATAACATAAAACCATGAGATAGAACAATATGTGGCTTATTTAGGCAAACTCATAAGTGGGAAAATAGACAGTTGTTGTAAAGCATGTATTAAAACAGTTTTCAAGATTGTATCCTGAAACTTCCATACAACTTATCAACGAAGTTGGAAAAGAATATCCAAGAATATCATAACATAAAACCATGAGATAGAACAATATGTGGCTTACTTAGGCAAACTCATAAGTGCTTCTTCTTCATCAGGTTTAAGTATGTTCTCAAAGAATGTGGAAGCAGATCCCTCGGCCACTGGTTGTGACATGTCTCCTTCAGCAAGCACTGTTTGAGACGCCAACTTGGATAAGAGCCATGTCATGAATCCTGGGATGGGACTGAGAGTTGCAAAGGTCTGCATATAAGTTGATCAGCAATCATAGATATGGGAGGGCCTAAAGTAAATTTTAATAAATATAAGATATTGCAGTATCCTCAGAAACACATTGTCAAGGAATTTTCACAACATTAATGTCCAACAGCTATTGGGGATAAGCATATTAGGTTCAGTTTCAACTCTTCTAGAATGATGGAAACAAGATATTGTTTTAAGAAAAAAAAACTTGTTAGAAATTTCCATGTGCCTTTTACTTCTAGCACTCTTGTGAGAACACTAACTCCATAAATATGCAACTTTGGGAGGAGGAAAAAGTTTAAGGCCAAGAATTTACAAAAAGAAACCAGAAAATTGTACTACTGTATTGAGAAAAACTTTGATCAAATTCAAAACAGACACTTTTTTGTAAACAATACCATTCATATCAAAATCAAGAAATGATTAATTAAATCATGAGTTACAACTTAAGATGGATGTTAAGTAAAAAGTTACATGTCTCCAAATTCCATGAAGCAATAAATTTCATTTGGTTACGCCCTTTAAATTAAAACAGCTCCACAACATTGGTAAAATGCTTACTTACAGAAATATGTGGCATCTCTCTTTTCACCAGTTTTACAACACGTTTGATAAGAAACTTTCCCAAGTTGATCCCCGCTAAGCCAGGCTGCAATATTTTCAGAACTATGCAAATCAGAAATAAAACTATCTCCAGCATTATTTTTCTTCCTGGATTCAGAAGAGGTATAAACTCAAAGTAAACAAATCTAAGGTGCATACAGAATAAACAGATCAAGGAAGGCAAAAGGAAAATCAAGCAAAAAGTATCAATAAATTTCAGAGATATCAAAAAAGTCAAGAATGAGGCCTAGTGTGCTTTTCACTGAGGATGATACTAGTTAATGTCAACATGATGAGAGAATAGAATTAATAACTTTTTTGATATATAGTCAAATTTCCACCATTTGTAACTCTACATTTTACATATAGCATACCTGAGTTGATGATATAGAGTAAAACAATGCACTTGTTGCCTCACTTTCAGGTATAGGAGGGCTATCCCACAAAACTTCCTGTGAACAAAGAAATGTTGATTAAAAGGGTACTGAAAAAAAAGGGTTTGTTTTAGTTAAGTTTAACATAATTAACCTGTATAGTTTGCGCCACATTCTTCATTAGTGCAACTTCAATGAAAATCAAAGGTTCACCTAAGGAGAAACAAAAAATCAATCCACATAAAATAGTTTAACTTAAACATACTTGAGAAACTTTGAGAATAGACTTTTACAATCAAACAAAAGTTCTATGAATTGTTTGGGACAAAGCACTCGTCATCCTTGAAATTGATATACATAAAAGAATAAATACATTTTACATTTTCAAGATCAATAGCAAAAAATTAGACTATTCATATGATTCTAATTTTTCAATCATACGCACTAATCATTGTCAATATTTCCAACAAACATTAAAAAAAAATGAGAGCATGTATGTAACTACAATAGTAGTGGGGAATGTATCCTCCCAGGTTAGAAGGTATTTGCATGAGAAGGACATGTTAAAATTGTTTGCCTATCTATCATTTCAAAAGAATAGATTCTCTCAAGTTAGAAGATTCTCACATTAAAGGAACATGTGAAGATTTTACATATACCTTTCTCTTCAAAAACATTCACAAATTTTTATAGGATCCCATCTATTTAATATCTATGAAGAGAGATCCATACAAAAATTTCATATCTTTTTTAGGAAACTTTAACATGGGAGAGATCGATTCCCACAATATTGTCAACCACTGAAATTCACTGGGTTACTTATGGTCAAATCAATCATGTAAAAAGAGTAAACTATAGAAACAGTAGCACCAAATACGAATTTTCAAGTTACATGTCATGACAATCATGGGCATTTTCTAAGCAATACAATCACCACGAGAGCTGCCATCATTCTATATTAAAAATTCTATCTGTAGTGCTGTCTCTTGCTGACTTGATGCATTGTAGACTCATCTTGAATACAGGTTAAATAGCACTAAGATGTTAATTAAAAAGTGATTAATAAAATATAATAGGATATATTGCATTATTAGATAAGCTTATATGACAACCAAATTCTTTTTCTCACCAAATGAGTTGACTAAATAGATCAAACGATGTCAAATGTCCAGTCATAAACCATGTTTAATGATAGACCATTAAAATCCAAATATCTATTAAAGATGTGGTCTAAATTTTTTCTCTTTATTATTCTTTTATCTCTAGCTATTGAACTATCCTCTATCAAGTCTACCATCGTTATCAGTGCTTCTATGGGTCTTCTCCATACTTGTCAAACTATTTAAGATGAAAATCTAGCTTCTTTTCCACATTAAATGCTACCCAACTTTCTCTTTAATGCTTTAGTTCCCAATCATTAGATATGCTTATAGTTATTTGAAATATTTTGGCTATCAAGCATCGTAAGTAAAGTCTTTAAAATAGAGATCATCTACGAAATCTCTATTGCTTTCAAGGTGTACAAGCCTAACTTAAAGAGAAACCAAACAAAAAACAAATTCCATGGACCAGATATTGGCAAGAATCATCTTTCAATAACAAAGTGTACGAAGAAGAGCTGACCAGGAATTGCTGGATGTAAATATCCAAAACAACGACGTCCAATTCCCAGCCTTCTCTTAAGATCTAGAAGGTTGCTTATAGGGTGCACAGCCTACACAAGATAGTGAATATTATGCATACAACGGAAGAGTAGAGCTGCACGATATGAAAATTCAAGAGATGGAAAAGAGAGAAGTACTTCATAAGCAACAATTTTCTCCAGCAGGGAAGCAGGATCATCCCAAGTAATTTGGTGTAGCTCTAATGCAGCAGGACTGAGCCATGTACTAAGTTTTTCTTTTAAACAAGAATCCAATGCTCTCAGAGAAGCAATATTTTCCTCTCTGCATAATGGAAAAATTGAACCATCATATTCAAGATTCCAGGAAAGCAGAGTAGAACCCTTGTTTTATCTCTTTTATCTTTTCCCTAGGAATTTCATCAAATATAAGTGCTTACATTTGAACATTTTATACTTTAATTTCAAGGTCTTCATAGTCAAAAAGACTTGTGTAGAAGTCTGTACAATAATCGGTATGTGAACTCTCAAACATAGAATACACTAACTTTATAAATAGCAACAATTAACTGATATGTCTTTTATTTTCTCAAACTATCATTGTATGATAAGCTAATCTCGAGACATAGGAATTATTCCAATAATAAGCATGGAGCATCAAACACTAACTCACGTGAGAATAGAGAGGATATTTGCTCGAAGAATGGATAAGAATCTCAACCCTCCGGGATGTGTGTTGAGTCGATCAAAGAGAACTTCATAAACTGGTTGTAGGGCATGCCTCAAATTCCGTTCAATGCGATAGAAAGAAGAAAACAAGCCTTCTTCTTCAGATCCGCTCGCTTGAGCTTTGTCTGCCAACCTCAAACACTTCTCACAAATCACAACACAGTTTTGAAAGTAATAATGCAAAGAGTTACACCCATGCACATTCACATTAGTACAAATCACTTACCAGCAGGAAGCTCAAGTCCAAGATACTGTTTTATCAGTTCGCGAACTTGTGATCTATTGAGATCATAGTCTCTAGCAAGGACAAGGAGCAACTTGCGACGGTTTTCATCAGAAAGTGTAAAATAACCCTACATTATTACCAGCTTACACGTTACAATCATATTTTTCACACATATACTCATGGATGCTATTACATTGTTAAAACGTTAGTTGACTGATAAAACCAATTATCTACTGCAGTAGACAGTCATAACTTATAACGAAGTTAGCTTAATTGGTTAACTCTATAGTAAACTTGTATACAAACACCAAAGCACTCTACTACTTTCCTTTCAAATTACAAAAATTCACCACATTATGGAAATTAAATAAGCACTAATAATAACAAAATCAAATAAGAAAGTTTTATGGCAGTAAAAATCTTTTAATACTAAAGTACCTCAGAGAAATTATTAAGCACATCATCTAGAACCTCCGTTTTGTGCATTGAAATTGCAGAGCGCATTGAGGCATAGACGCCCTTAATCTCACTGAATAACAGCAACAGAAAAATAATCATAACCATGCAAATTCCAATTTTCAAGTATGTGAAAATGGAAATTGAATAACAAGTAAAACAATGAACAACCTCTCGGAGTTGCCGGAATCATTAGGTGCTGAATTCCCTTCTTTTTGCAATTTGTGTGAATTCTGCTGCTGCGTTTTACTCGCCGCGTTCTGTTCATTTATCACAACCAAATGAACCAAAATTCAAAACAAAATTAACGCACGGAATCGATTAATTGTTTAGAAATAGAATCAAAACGGTGTGTGAAGAATGAATTTAGGTGAAATTGAAAGATTGGAATTGAATTAGAAAAAGCGAGATTACTAACGGTTAGAGGGAGAGGAGAGAGAGAAAGGTTAGGTCGATCGTGAGGCTTCATTCTGGCGCGCATCAAAATTGATAGAGCTTTCTTGTTCATTTTTTTCTGTTGGTATTTATACGCGAAAGGAGTGCGTGTGTGCGACTGTGTGAGAAATCGTAATCAGTCGACGAATAATGGATCCACTATGCTTCCGAATGTTTGTTGAATAGTTAGCATCGTTTTTTGGCGAGAATACTTTATTCTTTTCCTTTTCACATTTTGTTGAGTGTTGCTTGCAATCGCTCCCAAACACCTCTTTATTCGTTACGGGTCAATGTCCCATCAACTCATTCGGTTTCAGATAACTGAATTCTTCTTACCACCGTAAAACATCACATATATCTCTAACAATTGGAGATAATCTTCAAATGCATATTTTTTCACTCTTATGCGCAAATTGACGAGAAGTTATTGTTTAGCTACAAATAAATTCAAAGCTGCATCTTTTATGTGTATGTGGTCTTTTCGAATATGTATTTTTTATAAATATCATTAATTCAAAATTTAATGGTTGGTACGAAGATGTATCTCTAGACGGTGTTAATATATTAGCTTGCAGAAGACTCTTACCTCTTGCTCCTTTATTGGTCTCAAAACTAACTAAACCTCAAAAATTCAATTGGTACTCTTCCTCGGTCATTCAAGTTTCTCATTCAATCAAGTTTCTCGTTGCATTCTACTTCATTTGATATAAACCTTCTGATTTCATTAAAACTTCTCTTCAACAACTTAGATTTGATAAGTTTTACAAATATCATTCTTTTTTGTGTTTTGAAAGATTTTTTAGGAAAACTAAGTTGTTTAAATTACATTAGGTAGTGTTCAGTTGAAATACGTAGCCTAAATGGACATGCATTAGAAGTTTTTCGGAGTTTAGGGTTGCCATGGTGTTTATTCCATTTCTGTAAAATTGCAGTTTGTCCAGAGATGCATCTCTGAATTCTTTATAAACTATTTTTGGACATGTAACTCCAAATTTGGACATGGCAGGATTTTGGTTGCATTTCTTATTTGTGTATATGGTTTTATCGCATGTGCAATGGCTAAACCAACCCTGGCATAATTAGGCTCGGATATGTGTCCCAAACAATGTATGTATGACGTGAAATGACAGTCACAACCAGGACCAAGAGGCCACGAGTTAATGAAACCTCGTTTAAAGGCTTACAACGTTGAGGTTCCTAACCATCTAGATGACATCTCATGCCTCTTGCATCTTCCCATCAGAGGAAGATTACAGAGCCACAAAAGGATCGATCGAAAGGAAGTCATTGAGATGATGGTCACCCATTTGGAGGCTGGCCCAACTTAAGCCTCTAATGAGGTAGTTAACACAAGGGGTGTTTGAGCTAGATTTAGTTTTTTGGAAAAGTTTTATAAAGATCACCTGCAGTGGGTTGTGGATGTCAAAGGTGATTATATGCAGGTTAAGTAGCATCAGACTTATGCATTGAGGTGTTACCTCTTATTATTGGTTGGAATGTCCTTTTTTGTTGACAAAAGTGTAACCTATGTCGATGTGGCCTACCTTCAGTGCTTCATCAACTTGGCAGCAATTCATGAGTATAACTGGGGGGCGCTTGTTTGGTCCACCTATAATCGAAGTTGGGGGAGACATGTCTTTAAAGACAAAGCAGGTGGTAGGGAGTTGCACGTTGCTTACGGTAATTTATTGTTACTAATATTTTCATAATTTATTTGTTACATTTGTTATTAATATTGTATATGAACCATTTTCATGAATGGATGATTTTTCATTTCCCTCGTATCAGCGGGTGGGAACTTGTGTCTTCCTACACTAAGGATTGGCCACGTGTTGCTACCTTTACCTTGTCATACCCTAATTTTTATCCCTAAGGTCTCATCTCATTTGTATCTTCACAATGCATCAAGATCACAAACTTGGTTGTCTTCAAACCCTTCTACCTTTGGGTTTGTCTTGGTAGAGATCACCAAGCACCTCTTTATGTATCTTCCTTTTTGTACTTATATGTTTCATATGTTACTAACCTTTAACCAAAATACAAAAAAAAATATGTCTTGTCCCTTTTGTTTCTTTTGCAATGTAGGATTTGGAATCAAGAGCATCATGTGAATGTATCCTCAGCTAGAGGTTGAATTCTTCAAGTCAAAGTATGGTCAAGCATTGATTTTCAAAGGTTATCCACCAAAGCATAACCTCTCATCTCAACTCATAAGGTCTCAAGAATCATTCAATTCCATTTTTTATCAAAGACATTTCAAGTTGGATGGTTTAATTCTCAAGGAATTTTCAAACGTTCATGTGTTTATTTACATGCCTTCATCAATAAGTTTCATCAAGCCATGGCATGCTTCCTCAAAAGAAAATCAAGGGTACATCATTTTGAGTCCATATGATCATCAATATGCTTCGAAGTGCAAGAAAAGTCCCAAGATTACGAGTTTGATCAAGGAAGTTTGACCAAAAAGTTAACATTTAAAGCCTAAGTTTAATACTTTACAACTTTTTCATACTTTAACATTTTTAATGCTTATTTGGACAAATGACTCATCTTGACATCCTCTTCAACTTCTCTTTACATGTAGATAGCCATTTGTGCTTGGAAGACCATCAAAACTTTGAAGACATTATAAGTCATCTTATGGACATAGAAAATTTTGGCCTAAGTCCAAGTTTGGCATGTCCAACTTCCAAAGATCATAACTCCTTAAATATTCAAATTTTATGGGAGCTTCTTTTTGTCAAATATCCTTCTTGATGCCTCTAAAACTTTTCTTTAGAGGTCAAACACCAATTCATGTTCTAAGGACCTCAAATCTTGAAAGCCACTTGTGCATAAAACAAGGTCATGACCTATTTGACCTAATGTCTGACCTGATTTTCAGGGCCACAACCTTAACTTTTACCTTATTCCATTTTCACCTCAAGCATCCTTTTGGATTGATTCTTTTTGAATTATGTTATATTCCATGAATAGATCATTTGGCTTAAAGAAATTCAATATTACATGAGTAAATTGTATTTGGCCTCACCATGAACATGGTTGCCTGAAACTGAAATTGTCCATGACCATGATTACTCAAATCTCAATTTTAAGTCATTGTATGCCCGTGTTTTGTCCATGATGATGATAAGTGATAGTTTGTGATGTAAAACGACCCAAAATTAGAAGCGTTTTACTGTGTTTTTGTTGACTTCATGATCAAGGATTGTCACACTTTGCTTGCTCATGATTTCACATGAATTCAAGCTAATTCTCACACGTATGAGTTCCATTCTCTTCATCTATAAATAAAAGGCTCATTTGCACTGAAAACCAAGCTTAGAAAGCCCACATAACATCTGCTCGAGCTCACACTTCCCTCTGAAATTTGTGATTTTGTTCTCAATTTCTGAGCTATTTCAACCTTCTTTCTTGATTCCATTAGATCCATCGTACTTCTCTGAAGCTTCTGCAACAAGGATCAAGCTTTAAGACTTCTTGAACCATGCTGACTAGATCCACCTTGCAAGCTCCTCTGATCACATTTGAAAAAGATAGTTTGAGGCTTCATTTTCACTCAAACAAGTTACCACGATGTAACATTTTACCTCCTAATCGTTTCCCTTAACTTACCTTGTGTTGATAGTTCATATTGATCATTTAATTTTTATTTTCGTGTTTCTTCATTTCACTGCATTTCTTTGAAATTCTTCATGCTCACCTTCAATAAATGAAAATGAAGCATATGGTTGGATTCGTGATGAGATAACGGTCACAATGGTGATGGTCTCATTCTCTAATGTTACCATTTGCTAAAACTCCGGTGATGAGTAACCGGAGAAGATGACTTGAGAATGGATCACATGCAATATTTCATTTAATTTCCACCGTGTGTCTTTAATCTGAACCCTCATATGCGCTTACTTTATCCAGTCCACATAAATCTAACGGTCCATGTATTTAATGATCCAACGTGTTTTTTACTTAAAATCCACCATACACTGCAGATCTGGACCCTCTATTGTGCATACTTTGGTTACTCAACGCAGATCCAAGGGTTGTGGACTTTTTTCCTTTCTTTATTTCATTTTCTTTATTTCTTTTTCTCATTTTATTTCAAAAATTCATAAAAAGTACATCCATTAATATTTTTCACTCCAATTGTTTCATAGTTTCATAAAATTATTTTCTATTTACTGAGTTATGTTCCATATTTTTATTTCATCATTTTTTATTTTTCTTTATTATTTATGCATTTTAAATAGTTTAAAATTACTTTATGGATTTTAAAATTCTCCAAAATTTTATATATGATTCTTGAGTTGTTTATGACTTGTAGTAATTTTCTTGAGCTTTGATTTTAAAATTCATTTAAAAATCCTTTTATGCATTTTATTGTATTGTGATTGGTTTACTTGATGTAGCCTTGAATCATAACTTGTTGATCAAGTTTCTCCTTAATTTCAATAGACTTTGGGTGTTGATGAGGTTGGATGAACCTTCATCAATACAAATTTATCATTAAATGAATCATTTGATTCATTTTTGGTATTTTATGTTGACGATAGGTTTAGTGTCTTAATCCACCAAGAAAGATGATTGAAATTGATGATGAAGTGATCTTGAGTCTTGATTCAATTTGGTCCTCTCTTCATCTTTCCTTCTCTTTCTTTTTCCTTTTATTTTTCTCTCACTACGCCAAAAAAGACCTTTAGCAGCGCTTTTTTTGGCCTTTAGCAGCGCTTAAAAGCGCTGCCAAAAGTGGCGCTGCTAAAGGTAAAGGCAACGCTTTTTTTATGGAAAAAGCGCTGCTAAAGGCTCCCTTCAACAGCACTTTTAGCAGCGCTTTTATAGCCCTTTAGCAGCGCTTTTATAAGCGCTGCATATTCCCCCCAACCATCCCCCCCTTTAGTAGCGCTTTCTCAAACCGCTGTCTTAGAGCCCACCTTTAGCAGCGCTTTTACAAAGCACTGCCATAGCCCCCCCTTTTGCAGCGCTTTTTAGAAGCGCTGTCTTAGACCCCCCCTTCCAAACCTATAGCAGCGCTTTTGTAGCGCTATGTTTGTAACCTTTAGCAGCGCTTTTTTGTAA